ACTTATGTGAAGCTTTACAGCCTTGAAAACCCTGTGGGCAGTTCCACTGCGTGCTATCAGGTCAATGAATTATTATTATTATTATTATTATTATTATTATTAAAAAGACATGAACTGGGCAGGAGGGGTAGGAAGGAAAATGTACAACAATGAATGAATGAAAATCCAACTTTTCTATGAACTTTCATTAAAATCACAGTAATTTTTAAAAGAGTTGGGACTAATGGGAGTGTTTTGGGTTTGATTTTGATGCCGTCTTTGGCAGAGATCAGGGGTGGGATCCAGGCCACTGGCACGGCTGCTGTGCATTCTGCGTGCCTTTCAAGCAGAGGACGCACCTTCCAACTCTCCAGCGGACCGTGTTCTGTTACAGCCCACATGTCTCCGGCTAATTTTCAGAAGTAGATCGCCTTTCCTCCTACTCCATCTTTGAGTGGAAGCCGCACTTAAGCCTGTCCACCATGAGGGACCCTGGGGCATCTGAAATCTCGTGGGTTATAGCCTCCCACGCATGGCCATCTAAGAGAGGAGTGGGGATCCCACCTACCAGGCACTCAGTAAACCGTCCAAGTGAACTTCTCAGCTGACAGGAACCCCAGAGCCCAGGCAGCCGGGAGGGAAAAAAACACCCTGAAATCCAAAACACCCTGAAATCCGCATCCAACCTTGGACCCGCTACCCACATTCCTGATCTCATGATAAGTGAGGGAAAATAGCATGACGTGCCTTTGAACCACAAAAGATTTCCATGGAATTCAAGAAGTCCCTTCAGCAGTTCTAATTTTAGGCAGAACTGAGGAGAGAGGACAGTGTTGGCTAAGAGAGGTGGGGGGCGGCGGAGAGGAACTGAATAAGGCCCCTATTCTGCCTGCACAGGTGCTCGTAACAGGACACCCCTCTCCAGAGGGAGAGGCGGGGTGGAGAGTTCAAGGTGTGGTTGGGGCATTTTTGCACCCCCTCCATCACATTATATAACCAGAGCACATGGTCTCAGGTTGGGCCAAAGTTCTGCGTGCATCAGGCCCCATTCAGCTCCAACCTGCTGATTCTCGAGCAACAAGGGTAAGGAAATGAGTAGATTTTAGGCATTTCACTATTTTTTTGAAAAGTTAATAATTATAAGAAAAAAACAACTACTGGGTACACTGCCCCTCCCTAACTTTGGCCAGTAGAGTCCTCTTATCTTAAAAAAAGAAAGAAAGGAAAGGGAAAAACTTCAAACTTCGCTCAATTAATTCTCTGCTGGTCCAATTACATCAAAGCACTGGGCCACTTGAACAGTGTGTTCTTTGAAGAACTGGCTAAATGGGATCAAGCTGATAACAGCAACTCGAAAGGTGAGACAGGAAGCTGACAGGGCAGTGAGTTTAAAGCTCCTGGGGGAGGGAGGGAGAACTCAGAACAGGCAAGTGAGAATGGGCGTACAACCTGAAGAATATCAACACCACCACCAGATGCACACACTGAAATTGTTCGATTGGTGTGTGCTTCACTGTGCACACTTTGAACACTAACAAAATAAATTTTAAAAATAAATAAATAAAAACGCAATGGTGGCACAAATCTGTTAACATTGAGCCTGACTATGCGATTCCAGAACCTTCTAAAATAGTCAGCATTGTCCCAACATCAGACATCAATCAACAGGCCTTCACAACAGCCATTCCCGGCTACCATTCCCTGGACAAACCCTCCCTTCTCCCAGCCCCGAGCTCATCTTATTTTCAACTTCCGTTGAGACCAACACCAAATGAGGAAAGGAAGCTAGTAAATGAATTTGCACACTGTCCCTTTCAGGGACCCCCAAAGGAGGGTGGAAGAAAAGGGGGGGGCACTAGGCTGCCTCCTCCTCAAGGAATCAGTTATTGAGCAGCTATTGTATGCCTTGTGTAGCTCCTACATCCCATGGAAGAAAACTGAGGGTTCCCTCTACACCCTGTACCCCAGAAAGACTTACACACCTGCTGACAGTTTGGCCTTTCACTGGATGAAGTATTACTGGAGGAAAGCAGAAAGAATTCTCTCTAGTTCTTCAGTGTCTTGGAAATTCTTTGGTTTTAGCAAACGGATGGTGTGAGGCCTTGAAATCACTTCATTTTTATTTTTTTTTCTCCAAAAAGGAAATTGACTCCCTTCCTGTGCTGTTAATAGCACTGCCATACATCTAAGTGAAGCAAATGCTCCCAATAAAACCATTTTCCTTGAGCCTTTTTTCTCTTCACCCCAATTTGACATCCCTTCTAAAAAACAAATCTAAAAACATTAGCAAGATGTCATTCCAGGTGGGTGTCCAACACTTCCGCTTGTCCTTCGAAGCCAAAGGGAGAGGGGACCAAAGGCATTTTAAATCCATCATGGGAGTTCAGAGACGAGGAAAGGCGGCTAAGCTGATCATTAGCAAGTCAGCTGATGTCAGAAATTAAAGGCGACTTTTCTTGCTGGCGGCTTCATGCATATGTATGCTATACCCTGCTTACCCTACAGACACACGATCTGTGAGATGCCCTTTTAAAATACCACTGCCTAGAGAAGGGTTTTTTAAAGAACTCCATGAATACAGCAACGATCCTTGGCATCAAAAATCTTGGGCACTAAAACATCCACCTGACTTGTTTCTTCCTGGGTCCCCACAGCCCAAAAGTCTGCAGAGCTGAGGGCATGACTCAGTACTCTGCTCTTCTGCCCAAGCCAAGCCAAGCCAGCCAGCCTTTAAACCCAACCCTGACCAAGAGGGTGGGGAGGGAGCCTTTGGGGATGGTTGTTTTGTTGTGAGTGAGTGAGTGAATGAGTGAGAGAGAGAGAGAGTGTGTGTGTGTGTGTGTGTGTGTGTGTGTGTGTGTGAGAGAGAGAGAGAGAGAGAGAAGGGGTGACAAAAAACATTCTAACATTGGATTTG